GCGGCGACGTCCGCGAAGCATGGAGCTGTTGGCTTCGTATCGCCATCAATAAACAAACCGGAGCTCTCAAACAAGCATTCATAACTCAGCATACATATCTGCTTAGTAATATTGCTAGAGCCTCCCCATGTCATTTAACGAATTCACGATCCCGTATAAGCCAAGGCCTAGGCCAGACAAACTGGGAGGGGCATCACAGCCTTGGACCGCGGCGCGCTGTCAACGCTTACTTCGGCCATTGCTTTCGCGGATTGCTTCTCTAAGAAAGGATGCTGCGGCATCATTACTAAGCGCCAGGGACGATGAGTTCGGGCAGGAAAGGAGAGTTGCTACTGAGCAGCAAAATTCTTATTGCGAATGGTTAAGACCGCGCAAGAGAGTCCGCCTTACCTATTCTCAGAGGCGATCTCCCAATCAGGATGGAAAATCTACACTTGGCAAGGATCCAAGGGGGATGAGTACGACAAAATATCCCCAGAGCGGCGAGGGAAGACCTGTAGTTCCCGGAGAGATAGTACCGGCTACGCCTTTACTACGACGTGCACGAGGCCATGTTGTCTCATCGCCCACAATTCCCAGTCACCCTAAGGAGCAACCTGAACAACCTATAGTCGGATGCAAACGAGATCAGTTCAAGGACCTCGAGAAGCGTCTCGCAGGCCTACGGGCTCAGTCAACTTCGAACAGGCACAATGACTTGGAGGCAATTTATAAGAGCCTAGAAGCGCTCCTAAAGGCGACGCGGCATGTCACTAGTCGAGGACGAGGGCCACGTTCATTCCTCGATATGTGTCTTAGAAAAGTACCCTCCTATATCGAGGAACTCGAGGCCTGGGAGAAGATGGAAGCCGAGCAGAACGGGAGTATTTCCACGCTTGACGGTGTCGACACTTCAACAGAGATATACAACTACCTAGAGTCAATTGGATCAAATCAAGCCCTTGGATGGAAACATCTCCGGATAGTAGTTCGGGCAGACGGTCTTAATGCGGTGAAGCAAGGAATTTCAGAGGGATTATTCAGTGACGACTTCTCAGAATTACTTATCGATCTATGCATCCGATCCGGCGCATTATCCGAGGCTGAGGAGCTCATCGCAGCGCTGGTTGATCGCCAATACTCTCAGCCAACTATGGCAAACAGCTCCTTTGCCGAGTTGGGATGCTTTCGGCCTCTCTCGATGCTATGGACTTTTGCTAATAAGCATGGTCGTACTTCATTTCTCCTTCGACAGTATTTGCTGTTATTATCTAATGGCAGCCTTCCTCAAGACTGGCTTGCGACGCAAGAGTTCGAACGCATATGGGCGTTGGCTGCGCGGCACTTGTCTGTGGTAGAGGCAGCTGACGACGCCGTGGCTTTCATGAACTACTCCGTCACGTTGTTGTGCCGCCGGGGGCGAATCCTTACAAGCGGAAATAACACGAGTCGCCTAGAAAAAGATATTGCCATAGCCAATAAGCAGACACTAATTAGTGCTTTAACAATGCTAGCTGCGATGAGTTCGTTAGGCGAAATAGAACTCCATACAGCAAGCGTTTCAGAAGTTGAGATCACGAAGATAAGCTTCATTGGCAATAGGCTTAGATATATTCTTAGGTCGTGTATGGCCGGTCTAGAGTCGTCAAAGACCACGCGGTGCGGCCTAGGAAATGACCTGTTGCACTTGGCATACTACATCTCATCGAGCGATGCTCAAGTCGATAATAATATCTATTCTCATCTCAAGTACAGTATTGGACAAGCATGGCGACAACATACGGACCATAATTCCGCGAGAAGCAACCGCACGAGACACCGTCTTACCGATATAGCCTCATTTGTGTCATCAGTAGCTCGCAGTTGTGGTCGAGGAATGAACCTGGCGTCTCACAACTGTTTAGACATGTTATTCAGACAACTCATGGGTCTCGAACTCGATAAGGAAATCCTGAATAGCATGAAGACGATAGCGGCCTTTTCCCTTGCGCAACAGACCAATAACGTCAAAGACTTTGTCTACGCAGAGAAGCTAGCCTGCAACCAACACTCGGCCGCAGGGGACGACGCTCGTATACGACCTCTCTTCACGGGCTACCGGTGGGAGGAAACTATAGGCGAGTGGGTTACAGTCAGCCCTAGACGTCTGTCCCAGGCGAGAACAAGACAGCTTCGATCGTCGTCAAGGTTAGATGGAGATCATAAAGCAGACGGTGCCGAGCAGAGAGCCACTCAGTCCGGGGTGGCCATCTATGGTGAAGCAGATAGTGTTCCAGGCCCGGAAATAGCAAGGGTGGGGAGCAATCATAAGGTGCAGGGCTCCCCTAAGCCCCCCGGTCCCGAACGCGTCAACACCAAGAAACGTGCGCACTCTTGTTCACAGGGCGACAAGCAACAAGCGGCTACGGAACCCCGCCGGAGCAAAAGCATCGTCGCTCTGCAGTCCACAAAACTAGCCTACTCGTTACTAGACGACGAGCTCGGCTCCGATAAAGAAAACGGCGGTCATGTCGTTCGCAAGAAACCAATGAGAAGCATTGGCAAAAAGACCCTGCTTGGTACCAAGCTACGATCCAGACCCAGCCTCGCAAGCTCAGTGAGCTCCGGCATTCCCGGGGACGATTGCAGCGATGACGAACTTTGCATGTGAGACTCGCGTTTTTATTAACCGCGAGATAGCATCGTTTTTCTAGTATGAGCCCACTGGTGACAGGTTTTGTAAACCTGTCTGTGGATACGCTGAGTTTCGGGCCCGTGAATGTAATATATATGAACGTTATGTCTAGCGGATGCGGAGGATTCTACGGCTGAGCGTGGGATCTTGCATTTTCAACGGGAGCTGCGCCGCTGGATGGCATTTGGTTAAAGAGCATAGAAATCATGATATCGGTAATTACCTATATATAAATGTAAATACCTATTTTCGAGATTAAAGCTGAAATGAGCAAAAGCTACCGGTCCCAAACGGTAACGTTGTAAAGTGGTTGACTCCATGCACGACTAGGAATAACCCATGTGGTGGAGGCCCGTTGAAACTTGAAACGGCTGGATTGGGCAACTCGTATCAACTTGACTACTCTCAAACGCGGCCTCTGCCATATCTGGAATTGTTCGATTTTCAGAAACCCTCGAAGTTTATGCAAAGCATCCCACATCCATGTATCACATCTTCCAAATATGTTGAGTTCGCATGAGCCACGCTGCCGTTTTCGACAAGGTAGAGATTTTAAAGCTTAGCCTGCGATATCTAGTCATGATCTTCGTCATGTCATAGACGTATGTAGTAGCCATGATCCTATAAATGGCATTTGGTATATACCGAGGAGTATAGGATGAATGACTAAACGTTCCTTTAGTGGAATCTTTCCCGGGTATCATGATAGTTGAATATGTACATATTCCACATAATGATCGCGTAAGCATTTTGAGGCTCACTGTGTGTCGAACTTTTGGGTTGCAGTGGGTCTAAGAATATGATTTGGGAAGTATTAACTATTCCAAGTGAGACCCTATCATCATCGTCAGAATTAAGCATTTTGATGTGAGCCAGGTTGTAAGCGGCTTAATTGAACGCTTCTTGATCGAGATTTCGTATCACATTTCTCGTTGAGCGTAGATGACGCAAGCACCCGCTCGCTAAGGAAACCAGATGAAGTGCTGTGGTATACCATCGTTTGACTATGTATACATATGGTTATGTATATGGTGTCGACGGAGTTTTGTAATGTCTCGATGAAATAAAATATGGTATCGCATTCTATGGTAGATTAAACGAATTAGACTTCAGTAAATAGTAACAATGTCGCAATGTTCTGCAAAAAGAGGTAATAGTCCAATCGTGGTGATCGTCCTCGGAGGAAGAGTGTTTCATGATGAGTCTAGTATATGCGCCACAGCCAGTCGTTTGACTTGCACACGAGGCGAGAAGGTGTCGAAAATCTAGGATGCTTCCATTTAGATGCACCACCAGTAGGTACGTAGCCGCTTGCTGTCCTATCCAAGGGTTAGTGCCTGAGTGCTTGGCTATTATCAATCGTCATTGGTGGTGCGATCATCCAGATCCCTGTTTTCTAATGTGCGCTGGCTCGTTTCAAAAACTGCTCTGTCGATCATGATGCTCCCTACCGCGATGCAGAATTAAGATCGGACAAACGAATGATCAGGCCAGAAAATTGGTGATAGAAGCTTTCGTGCCTCAAAATTGAAGCATTAGCAAGAGCCACACATTGCATGCGTAATGTACAGTTTCAACAAATAGCAAAGATAGATAAGATAGAGGACCAAACGGTTGGATCTCCAGATGAAGTAGAGCAGGGATGTGGTTGTATGTACTGGGGTAGTGGGCTTGCTGGCTTGCTGGCTTGGTGACCCCTGCTCGATCGGCTCAGGTCCTCGGCCAATCCTGCTTCTTTTCTTCTGTGTACCTTACATTGGTGGCACTTTATCGGCCCATCCCCACACTACCAAGGCAAAACTTGCTCGTAATCTGGGCTTAGTACAAGAATACGGAATACTTCGAGAGATACCTATCATGCGAACGCGTGTATTGTATGCAGAGAAAAATTTGAACGTTTCAACTGAGTGTGTGTTGGTAAATTGGGAAATGAATAAATGTTAAGCCTCGTGAAAAGAACATTTGAACATTGAACTAAATGAAAATAGAAAATAGAACAGATAACGTCCGAACAAGCAATTGCTTAAAGTAAGGCAAACGTTATTCTGGCTTTTGATTGATTACCTAATCTAATGTGGTAAATCGCGATGAGCTGAATATGTACAAACAACTAAATTGTCAGATTAGTTCTCGGTGAAAGAATTCAGTGGAATTCTGCTTGGCTGCTTGGTCGGGGAAGGTACCTCCTAGCATTCCTCTCTAGGCTTAATTTTCAGGGGATAGACGCAATGATTGGCATATACTATGTATGTAGTGAGAGGGCAAACCGGCATTAATCGACGTAATCCAGTAACGCCCCGGGCGGGTACTCCGTCGGTACGTACCTGAATATTCTAGGTTCTCATACCTACCTAGGCCCTGCACGGGTAATTCTTACCTTCAATTATAGACTGACCTCCTTATTCTTCCTCATTCATATATTTCATGCAAATGGGCACTGCTCTCTCTTAGGTCTTCCACACCCTGTGGCCTTAATCCTTCTGGTCCTTTCTTCACAGACCCATTCTGCATCCCCAACTTTTAATTCTTCAACCAGAATTGGGCGAGTGTAACGTCGACCTACTTCGTTCATTTACAATAGTACCCTTGCAAGCCTTTTGCAGGCATTCTTCTAGGTCGCATCCTTCGAGGCTCTTTAGTCAACCGTTTTCCACCTTGGGCCAGACCCCCGAAGACACACTCCCATTTAAGTATTCGTCTTCCCTCTCCACCTTGGCAAGTGACAAAAACTTGACCTGGAGTCACCTAGACTACAGCCTTGAAGACGACTTAGGCCGCCTTCAATATAACTTCCTGACAGCAGGCTGTTAATTGCCCTTCGTTCATTCCTCCTTGGGCTATTCAAGTTGACCTTGTTTGGCCATTACATATTCCAACTAGGTCTCATAACCAACCTCCTGAGATCACTCAACATTCCTTGCTTTTACTGATGACGATTTTCTGAACCGAGGTTCCTATTTCAATTCAATTCTAAACTTTGATTAGTTTAGCTGGTATACTTCCGACGACAACATCAATCCGGCTTTTATCATGGCTGGAGGAGGACAGGCAGAAGCTGCTGGTGAGGGGCAGGCTGCAGGATGGACGCCCGCGATGGAAAACGAATCTTTATCTAACTATCTACTGGTTGTTTGTGCCGCTCTCTCTTTGGGTCTCATAATATGGCGCATTACAACGGCATTACAAAAGTATGTCCGAACCGTTACGAGTTTAACAAACGACACGCAGCGATACTTTGCACGCCCGTCTACGAAATTCGCCTGGATCAAGAAGAATCTCTTATATGCCCCCATGTTTAGGAAACGACATAACCGAGAATTTCAGCTGAGCAGCGCCATCAATGTTGGTACCCTGCCCACTCGGTTCCAGTTCCTCTTTCTAGTGGGATACTTCGCAACCAACATTGCCTTTTGTGTCATCCACATTCCCTTCGCCGAGAGCTTCGCGGATGCGTGTAAGCAGTTGAGGAACCGAAGTGGAACGTTGGCAGTAGCCAACATGATTCCCTTGTTTCTCATGGCTAGCAGGAACAACCCTCTCATCCCCCTACTCGGCATGTCATTTGACACTTTCAACCTAATGCATCGTTGGTTTGGCCGTATCGTAGCATTGGAAGCAGTGTGCCATACGTTCTCTTTCTGGGCTGCGTCAGCCGCAACTGGTGGGTGGTCAAAGGTACTGACTACTACCGTCACAGTCCCATTCCTGCTATTCGGCTTCCTTGTAAGTTATATCTGTTCGTATCCTAGGCGATCCCTCTATCTAACATTGCTTAGGCCACCATTGCCTTTGTGGTGATATTGTTTCAAGCTTCGAGCATCGCTAGACACGCGTACTACGAGTCCTTTAAGCTTCTGCACATCGGTCTCGCTGCGCTTGCGGTTGCGGGCCTTTGGTACCACCTTGACTTGAAGCAAGTCTCCGCGATCAAGTGGTTGATTCCGGTTATTCCCTTGTGGGCTGGCGACAGGCTGATCCGGGTTATGCGTATTATTTACCACAACTTCGGTCGGGGAGGGACCAAGACGCTTATCGAGGCGCTCCCTGGCAATGCCGTCCGTCTGACGGTGACAATGGCCCGCCCTTGGGCTTTCAAGCCGGGCCAGCATGCATACTTATATATGCCAACCATCAGTTTCTGGCAGTCCCATCCATTCTCCCTGGCTTGGAGCGAGGAGGCCGAAGAGTTGAGCTCGGATAAGTTGGCTATGAACCGACAAGACGTGCTTGCCATGCGCAAGACCACCATGTCCTTCATCATTCGAGGACGGTCAGGAATGACACACAATTTATACCAAAGGGCTGCAGCGCAACCTGATGGCCGGCTTATGACAACATGTCTCGTCGAAGGACCGTATGGTGGCGAGCATTTGATGCACTCCTACGGCACGGTGATGCTTTTTGCTGGTGGTGTAGGTATTACTCACGCAGTCCCCCACGTCCGAGACCTTGTTGCAGGTTTCGCAAATGGCACGGTAGCCACGCGAAAAGTGGTGTTGGTATGGATTATTCAGAGCCCTGAGCATCTCGAATGGATTCGACCGTGGATGACAGAGATCCTAGCTATGGATAGACGGCGTGACGTGCTGCGGATTATGCTATTCGTCAGTAGACCACGCTCGACAAAGGAAATACACAGCCCTTCGTCGACAGTCCAAATGTTCCCTGGCAGGCCCAACATTGAGACCTTAATCGGCATGGAGGCAGAGCAGCAAGTCGGGACAATGGGCGTGACGGTTTGCGGACCTGGTGCCCTCAGTGACGAAGTCAGACTAGCGATTCGTCGCAAGCAGTACAACACGTCGATCGACTTCATCGAGGAGGCCTTTTCGTGGTAGACAGCTAATAAGTCACCGCTATTGCTCAGGTTACTTGGAAATCAAGTGGACTGGGCGGGGAGGGCGTCCAGATTTATTGTAGTCGTATGGGTGCTCTGTTCGGTTGCGCATATTTGATATTTTTTCCTAGGACCGCCCTCGCAGTTTCTTGTAGATACCTTCTTTCGTTGATAGACATGTCGGCCTAACACCAACGGGTGGTTATGGCCGGAGAGATCGAGAATATATGATTTATTAAATATTGCAATCTACCTGGTGAACAATGAGACTTCTTGAAGATTCATGTAAGACTAACAAATGAGCCAGGAGTTTCTTTAAGTTTGGTAAGACATGATTTAAGAGATGGATAGAGTTGGTAACTATAACTTGATATGGCTCTTGGGTTTGACTAAGATTCAAGAGACAAACATATAGTCAACTACGACTTAGGTAGGAGGTGTATATACTTATGTCCAGTTACTCAAGAAACATCAGTTTACTATTATGAAATAAAATACGAGCTGGAGTATCACAAATGCTTGATACGAAGAAGAGACAACTCAGGTATGAATAGGAAAGGGATATCTTCCTGGAGTTATGATTCGACTATTCACATACTTGTGTAAGAAAGCCAACCAGTTTGATCCATTAACACGAGAAACTACTTACCTAACTACTTTAGTCGTAGCACGGACGAATACGGGAGTTACAAATCCAACATTCACTCATATCAGTCCCTTTCTTCGAATTTAAAATCTTTTTTTTTTCTTAACAAAGAATGTAGTACAAGTTTAGATGGGAATTGTTTGTCAAGTGAAGATAAAAATGTTAAGTGTCGAAGATAAGAAAAGAACCACGCGGTAAGATAAATCAACTACCCCATACGAAAGCTGCAGGGGTAGCACCACTGTACCACGTCAGCGGGGTAAGGACCTTACCTACTAAGATAACTAAGATAAGCAACTCCAGCTGTTACTTACATCCACATCACATCACGCCTGCATCGCGCGAGACTGGTTTGTTCCTTAGGTACCTTACATAAACGCTTTTGGTCTTCTAAATCGCAATTCTTCTACTGTACAATACAAGTTGCTATGCATTTCGGCTGCCTACATCATTTGTAACTAACCGGAGTAAACAAACAAACAAACAAACCACTAAACCAATAATATCGGCCTGGCCTTCGGATTTGGTCCCGTTAGGTATTACGTTATCGCTCCTCTCGGACACAGACATCCGTCCCTCGTATTGTATCTTCGCCCCCGTGCTATCGTCAACCTCGGAAACTCGCGATACCTACCTGCCTGCTCGATAAGCTCCTCGTCTAGCTACCACGCATCGATCGAAATCGAGAACACTGCCGGAATCCTTTTTCGGGTCGGATATACCACCAAAAACTACCTGGCTAGGTAACCTGCCTGACGAACGGGAACACACGCGGTCGGCGTGGATAGATCGGCCGCAATGGGTCTTGCGTACAACACGTATCTCGATAGTAACAAAATATACGGGTGCAAGAACTGCAAAACCCATCTTGCTAATCATGAAGAGATCATAAGTCGGGTATGGCACCCCTCTCTCTCTCTCTCTCTCGTCGTTCTTCCGTCGTCTTGATCTAAGTCCCTCGCATCATAATATTTTATCACATCATATTATACCGTATCCTCCTCCTATATATCCCAGTCTTGTATCCCCTCCATATCACAGACCTTTCTATGCATCCAGCATCCCACCCTAGCTACGCCAACTAACCCACCAGCCAGAACTTCCGCGGCCAGCACGGCAAGGCCTACCTCTTCAACACGGTCGTCAACGTGGACGCGGGCGAGCCGTCGGAGCGCAGCATGACGACTGGCCGGCATATTGTGCGGGACATCACGTGCAAGCAGTGCAAGGAGACGGTGGGCTGGAAATACGACCGCGCCTACGAGTCGAGCGAGAAGTACAAGGAGGGCAAGTTCATCCTCGAGGCCGAGCTGCTGTGTAATGTCAGCTAGGCGGCCCCGTCCCGTCGATGGACTTGGCGATATGACGAGTGAGGACGGGTAGAATAGAGAGGGGACGGTCTGGTCTATATTTTTTTTCAGCATGGGTATGCATTGCTTGGGCGTTTTCTTGGTTATCGTAGGCGGGTCGGGTCTGCTGGGTGGTTTTAGACGGGCAAGGCAAGGCAAGACAAGGCAAGAGTCGCGCCTCTCGCAAACGTACGTACAACGCCGTGGAGGTCTTCGAGGGTCGGATAGAGTTCCTCCCTTTACGTTATGAAGCTTCCTTAATGGGGTGCTATACAGGTTAATAGATAGTTTAGCATTATAAATTGTTACTTGCTTTACAATGCATAGGCCTCGTTTACTATTAACTGCCAGTACAATCACTTACATCTTGATGATACTACTCTATAGTTAAACTTGATTGAATGTTATGTTTTGATACAGAGATTAAGAATATCCTGATGTTATAGACATCGTATATCTACTGGCATATCTGCATTGTAGGCTAGGATTCTGATGCGCAGAGGAGAGTATATTATATTATATAACCATCCACAATTATAGCCCATAGGAACTCTCTAAGGAGCATCTACGAAGCATCTACGATATGAGTATCTCAATACTTTATAGTCGTCCCCTTCTCTCAAATCTACTAGCAGAACGAATGACTTAACTCTTCGGGTAACTAACATCGAGTGAGAGTAAATGATCAAATATAATTTATAAGTCCGACCCTGATAGTTACGCTGCCATCTGAAATAGAAGACTATATCAAACAAACTGATCCGCTGATCGAAACTAAAGTACTCCAACCGAAGCACATATTACAAACACAATAACCCACTAACATGCCGATACCAGCCAACGCCATCCCAATGCAAAAACACGTCTCTTCGCAAGCCCTAGCCACTGTTTAATTATCTAGAGTAATTAGGTCCAGCCCACCGTGCTCTTAGGCAGCATCAAGTAATCTGATTTGCTTTGCGGACAATCTAGTTATGCTCGATAGGTTCTTCGGGGAGCAACTCCTCTACTTCCTCAGTTGGCTCGAGGAATTTGAACGGTGGGCGCACGACGCCGTTGAACAAGAAAGTAAAGTACACTAGCAAGACGAATCCGGCAACTTGTAGCCACTTGAATGCTTCCCACCCGAGACCGAGGGAAACCATCCAAATGAATAGGGTTCGACAGCTATCAATAGTCGACCGCGCTGTTGCACTGACGTTGCGAGTGACGGAGAGGCCGAAGAAATTATAACCACTAGCAACACAGTTAGAATACTTATCATCAAGGCGTGACAGTGCGAGGCTCAACTTACCCGATAGAGATCATAGTTAGTACACTAGACACCCACACGGCTCTGTACTCCGTCATCTGTCGGAAGCCCTCAACCATATCGAACATCCCGTAGCGGCCAGCATCGGATCTCCCGATGGAGAGGTGTAGTACCAACATACAGATCAGGGTAACAGCAAGACCAAAGAGACCTTCCCAACCAACAACCTCGATGGGGTCGATTTTGGAACGCTCTAGCAACCACTCCTCGAGGACGAATTGTGTGGCGGTAAAAATCTGCGCGAAGGCAATAAGAATAACACCCAGCGCAGCACGAAGGCCCTCATCAGTAGCAACATCCTCTGCAGCCTGGAACAAGGCGTTGGTGACCTCTGCTTTGGCATCGGGCCAGATAATACCCGCAAGTCCAACCAGCGCAATACCGATCATGACACCAACGAGGGAAACCCATTGGAATAAGTGCAGCTTGCGGTGTAGGAAAAAGACGCTGAACAGGCCGACAAATAGCACCAATGCACCACGAGTCATCTGGTAGATCGAAGCAGCTACCATAAACAGACCTGCGTTCACAAGCGTCGTGCCGAGGATATCGCATATGGCCGGTAGCGAAAGGAGTATGATGCCATAACCCTTTAGGGGCCCATCGACTACACCAACATTGTTCTTAGTTGGAGGATTGGGAAGAATAAGCGCCTGTTCCGAATTGACGCTAGCAGCATCGTCGTTATCATCGACTTCCGCGTCCCCCCTGGGGATTGCCTGGTATCCGTTGGCAGCCGGGGTCTTCCTGCTCGCGTAGCGTTGGTACGCGAGCCTCAGCCCGACAACAATCCAACATCCGACTTCTCCTATGAACATCTGCGCCGTCTGAAGCACCGGCTGCTCAAACGGCTGCCGCTTCTTGGGATTGGGGTCGTCGCAGTTCCGGACGCATTGATTGTCCTGCACAATCGCGGTTAGTGAACTGAAGCGTCTGGATGTGGAGAGGCGAGATTAAGTTGAACTTACCTGGTACTTGGTGAAGAGCGTATTGCAGACACCGGTGAGCAACATCATGCCCACCAGGAGAGGGATAAGGGCCTTTGGCGCCATGATGACCGGCGATTCACGGCAGGTTTCGCAAAGGAGTGGTCTTGTGCCAGCAAGAGATAGGGGACGTTGCAATTGAGCAAGCGTGGGTAATGTAACTTTCTAGAACTATAAGAAAAAGAATGAGATATGATAGATATGATTCGCGGCAGCTTTGATGAGCTGCGGAAGATATGCGAGTGCGAAGCTCCTCGGGGATGGCGGCAAGGAACGGCGTGTGAAGGTTCCAAAGGTTGTGTTAGAAGATAGGGACCACCGCGCGGTTGACTGATAACGTTGGATTGCACCCGTCTTAGGTAATTTAGGTACATAACCTTGGCAATGCTGCATGCACATATGTAATATGTACCCTACCTACATAACATACATATGCAAGAGCTGGGATTAAAAGCTGTCCCCGCATTGGTCAACCGATTAGCCTTATGATATCAACTTCAGCTCTGATTGGCTTAGCTATAAACCCCCGGGTCTAAACTGCATCTTGGAGCCGGCAGGTGCTCACTAAATCGATCTCGTGAACACATTGCTATAATTGCTGTGTACATATGTACCATCCATTGAGTTTTGAACCGTAAGCCTCATTTGCCATACTCATATACCTCTTATTTTAATTTGACCCCTTTGCTTAATGACTTCTTACGTATTTCAACATTTAATTATACAGATTCGCAAAACAATAAGCCTGGTGCTTAAATGCTCATATCGTATGCCTGTTCATAGCCTGTCAACTGTAAGTTGTAAATATATTTACTTGCGTTTCGTAACGCCAGATGGCATGTTATTCAAAAAAAATATGCTACTAGACACCAAGTCCCGCCATCTATAAAAACCTGCAAAAACACCCCATTTAAACGCAGAATGCTTGTCTTTCATTATCAGTTGTGAGGCTAGATTGCTCGGCCTTCCCAAACCGTGACTTTTGCTTCTTCGTCCTCTTCTTCTCTTTCTCCTCCTCAGGGTTCTTGTCGCCAAGGTTGTTATAATGAGGAATACCTAATTCCTTATCACGCGCCAGACGCTCAATATCCTTCTTAGTTAGAGGGACCCCTTCGATAGCCTTAACATGTTTCCCTTCAACGCCCATCATGATACCTGCGGTAGCGGAGGCGATACATGCAAGACAAACAAATAGACCAGTCGACCAACTAGGTCGATCGTACCGATTCAAGGCCCACATGAAACCTGATAGAACGCATTGCAGAAACGTGTTGGCAACGTTGAAGTAGATAATAAAATCTAGTTTCCACATCTTAGTCGGAGGTGCCCGAATGCTCGTCGGTGGAGCATCTGATATAGTCTCTAGAGGATACGGAACACTATCAACGTTGTAGTTTCCGACCATCTCCTCGATATTCTTCGGCCCAAGAGACGTAGGAAGTTGTTCGGAACCAGGAAGACGGAACCAACCGCGATGGACGCCTGCTAAGCTTCGTAGAGCCTTGTGATCACCCTTAATACGATACCGAAGCAGGAAGTACAGATCGCGAAAGCGCCACGGCGCTAAGCCAAAACCAGTTACGCAGAACAACCCGTTTAGTATTTGGGAATCCGTTTCGATCCATATTCTGCGCGGCGAATCAATATCATCGCAGTCGAGTTTGCCATTCACCCAGCACATCTCTGGCGCAGCGTTGCATAGAAGAAGGAACAGCATGCCACCCCAAGCCACGACGTTAAGGGAGTAGATAGTGAGGAAGAAGCCGAATCCAGTATTGTAGAATTCCCAGAACGAAACCAGACCCATTCGTATTTGCTCCTTTATGGGATATTTCGGTGGGAAGTGATACCCATTCACATATTCTCGCATATGGACGTTCACAGCGGCGACGTTCGACGCGAGCGCGCTGCCTACCCCCTCCTGCGCCTGGGCCGACATAATTGGCGCGCGTTGACTTAGAGAATCATTTTGGTCCGTCGCTGTTGAGATTGTCGTAGCCTGATCAACGGTATCCTCTTGTCCTTCTTTAGATATTCTGGGCGAATCTAGTGACATCTTCAGGAGATGCCCTTGCTCCTTCCGGAAGCCGATAAGTTACAAGATTTTCGTTTTCGGGCGCGAGATGATGTAGAGTGGTGTTGCGATCCGATTGAGAGCGAGACGTGGTAGATATCAATCGGCCTTTTTTGAAGCGTAGGTATAGCTGCGCAAGGAGAGCCGAAATGAAGAGCCGAGGAGCGACAATACAGTCTGATTAATTCGATTTGTAGTATCAGGGCTCAGCGTGATTACCTTATTAATAAAAAGGGCAGAAAGGTACAATAATGATTAAAATAACATATGTTAAGGGAAGCGAAATGGTGAATGAGTGCTGAAGGCGAGTAAAAAGACGTCAAAGGTAACATAGCAGGATTTGGTGTACACTATAAGGAGAGGTACGATGTACGACGAATAATTTGGTACGTTGCTAGTGTAAGTTAGGCTTTAGCGGTTTCCTTGGCACACAATGTAGGCCTCTGAATGGGGCAAGGGGTCTCCTCGTCCCCTCTATTTCCCTAAAATACCTAATTATGACTGGTTGCTGTTGCGAGTGCAACTAGTTCCTTCGCATCTTATGTATGTAGGTAGTGTAGCTGGCAGTGGAACAGGGATATATGTACCTAATCTTTTTAGATACTGGTCTCATAAGCAGATGGGAGAATTCATACCAATTCATCCTACAAAATACATGAATATAAATGATTCCGTAATTGTTTCTATGTCCAGATAATACAATTAATGCTACCTATAAATTAATTTTCTTCGCAATCGAATATCGATCACAACCCCTAAAGAAGAAGTGCGCAAGCCGAGACAGAGTTACTCGTCATTATGTAGGCGTGTACGAAGTACCTAGAACGAGATTTCGCATTCCGATGACATCTGCACAAACTGTAGAAAAGGTCTAGATCTCTCCACCAAGCTAAAGGTTTCAAGATCTGCGCCTCGAAAGTTGCACAGCCATATATGCGTGGCTCTCTTCTTGAACTACCACTCTACATTAGTAGTATGTTAATACGTACGCAAGAGCGAATTTCGGATATGACCCTCGTTGAGACGCGGCCACACATTATTCTTATTACAAGTCTGTCCAAGACCAATAATTAGCGATATAATACGCGTACGGTCTCAGTTGACTCGTTAAGTATGGTTCCATGTGATGTCAATTTGGGTACAATTTAGGGTCGGGGAATGCCGCCAGTGTACCATCACGAACTGAAAGTTGAAGTGACACATTTAAAGATTTTGAATGCTTGACTTGTGGTTCCAATAATCTGGCAGGTGACTCCAGATTCAATGTTATCAATTAGATGGACCTCGAAACCTTAAAAATAGACAAAGTACCTTGCCAGAGGTAGGGAAGGTATTACCTATCGTGATGCCTAATATCTTACCTAAGATACCTTAGGTGCCTAAGGTATACAAGTGCCTCTTTACACCGCCTTTATGCCCTAAGCTCCTGCCGTAGTTTGTAGCTTGCCAAAGGGGTCCTTGATTTGTATGAGAGAATTGCCATGCAACTACAATTTAGACTCTAACACGCAAATATTCGACATGGCCGAGAAATCTTACGTTGAGCATCTTGCGGTATCGGTGCTTGACAATCTTCGGTATCAACACGATTGGACTGAGCTACAAATATTGACTCATTCCCCCGTGGATAACTCACCACTACCGCGACCCCTAATCTCTGGGCTACCTCCCCGTCGACTCTATTTACATCCAGATGATCAGATTGAAATGCTCAAATCCCACCCGAACCCGGAAGGGCGTATTCCGGAGACACTTTCAGCCGAATGGGTACTACCAATTCACCTAGCTGAAAAATGGACACTTAAGGCATTCGCAAGCGTTTTTGATTCCATGCCACCAGAGAACTCAGCTGCTCCGGATCGTGTCAAGAGAGTACTACTCGCTACGGTACATGATGACTCTACCGTCGTTTACTACTTCATGCATGATGGTATTGTCAAGCCTCGGCAGAACTAGACTTAGGCGGAACAGTTCTGTTCCGCTCAGGGGGGGTGCAATGATTCCAGACTGTTCTTCGGTCATGGCTTGAAAATTACCTTTTGCACTTGCATCTTATCAAACAGATCGTATCCAGATACGGCCATAGAAAGGGGCATGATTTTCTCGAACATGAACCTGCTAGGGGTTAACAAATGCTGATAGCTTTTCGACTCAGGCTTCATGACAAAAGACGGGCCAACTTACTTAAATTTATGTTGATTTCTTGCGAGGACGCTGAGTGCATCGGCGAATATCGAGCGGACTGGACATCTTCCCATTTGTAACCTCACGTTTTTGCTACGCCAGCGTCAGTCATATGATACCTCAAATATGGGCTAAGACACCGCGTACTTATACCCTTCGGTACCACTAAATGGGATCTGAGCGAATTGTTAGTTGGAAGTACGTGAGCAGACACATATTAGGGGCTAGATTACCTCGGCATTGTGGACGCCTATACTGCTTATGAACCCGAAAGGTCTCAGGACATCAAAGGCCGTTTTCAAGGCGGGGCTTAAGCCAACTACTTCAATAACTGCATCTGCTCCTCGGCCATCTGTGACTTCTTTGATTCGAGCAATCATAGCCGACCGGTCCTTCGCGAAGTTAAGGGGCTCTGCACCCAAGCCCTTTGCGAGTTCAAGACGGCTATCGACGCTATCAATGGCGAAGAGATGTTTTGGCTTGTACTCTAGCGCCGAAACTATGGCACATAGTCCTACCGGTCCGCAACCGATAACCACCACTGTGGCTTCGGACGGATCTTGCGAACGGAGGCCATTGAATGCATTCCTGGCGCCAAAGAAGCCTGTCGGGAATATGTCTGCCATGAACACCAAAGCATTGTCGTCGATCTCGGGCGGCGCCTTCATGGCTGTACCGTCTGCAAGGGGTACGCGTACATAATCCGCTTGAGCGCCATCCAGCTTTTCCGAGCCAAACAATAAGCTATGGTCACACCGAGACGAATACCCATTTTTGCAGTAAAAGCAGTTCATGCTACGAAGCATATTAATGGATTGTTTAAATCGCATATGGAGCACAGCCTAGCCTACCAGGACACGGTGAAAGGAGATACCACCTTATCCCCAATCTTGACTGATTTAACATCGTTACCAGCTGCCACAACCGTGCCAGCGAACTCGTGGCCCATAATGAATCCTGTGTTCGAGGGTTGGTGACCTCTGAACGTATGAAGTTCACTAAGAGGTTTAAGAATTAGTTAATTAGCTAGGGGCAGAAGCAAGATGCTACATAATACGCACGATCCACAGAGAGCCGTTGCTGAAGCGAAACCTTGTACGGACCGTCGAACACGACAGCATTCATCGTAAGCGGCAATTCCATCGTGATACGTCTTAGCAGTAAGATACCGGAAGTAGACGTTAGATCCGGATTTCCGACTTCTGTCTAGTAACGATATTTATTTACTCGACTTATTATTGATGCTATACCAGCTATACCAGCTATACCAGCTATACCAGCTATACCAGCTATATCAGCTATATCAATGTGGCCGGCTTGTTCTTCGGCCTATTTACGGCACTCCGATGTCACCTAGTTCACTTATCTCGAAAGAGAATGCGGGGGATCGTACTATCTCGAGTGGGGTAACCCAGGTAGTTAGTATATCTTCACAAATACTAATTTTGCTCTATTTCTAGCTCGGTGCTTTAAGGACTGAGATTAACTAAATCATTAGGTAACCATATTTACATGTCCAAAACTAACAGTTAGCGACAGTCAGCGCTTACAGATTCTAAGGAACCCCCAGGGTTTTCCCGATGCCTCGTCTACTTTCTTCAAAGTTGAAGTTTGTAGTTAGGCAATGATGTTCTTGGCAGCACCCCGCAAAGGTTTCAAGACATAATAGAGACAAGACATAGAGAGATAGACACCGTCTAGCACAACACAGGCTTTTCAGCTCGTCAGATTAACCAATATAGAAGGACTTGGAAACACCCGACTAGTATTCCCGATAAGTAGCACGATCGTGTACGCGCAACACTTTACCAAGATCAAATTGTGATGATTAGCACATGAGCGCGGCCGGTCGCTATTCCACGCCTAAGTGGATAGGAAGACCTAGAAATATGAATAGAAATATGACGGTGTCCTGCGGTGCAATATAGCGTCGCCAACAAACGTGTCCACGTGTAAGCGACGATGTATCCGAGATGCGCTATCATCCACCACTATCTACCACCATCCACCACCATCCACCACCACGTTGGCATTATCTCACCTCGAGTTATCTATCTAAAACAGTGTGGCGCTTTGCGTTCTGTCTTGTTCTACGTACTCATGTTAGGTATATAAACAACCGGAGTTGTCTCCTCTCAAGGCTTAGTTAGACAAGGCGCCGAGCGCCAGGCTCCGAAGAAACTCGTACCATATCAGAGCCCTACTCCTCTATCACTTATGCACTGTGGGTGCGATTTTCGCGGGGCGCCACTATCGTGCAGAATGGTCAAGCTGCTGATTACGGAGCGGAGCCCGAAAGCATGTAACCTACCTAGGTACATATATCCCTATCCGCTTGCTAGAGTGCGTAGGTAGTCGGCCAGTCCAAGTGGTTGGTTGGGTTGAGGGTTATACAAAAAAAATTTAGTCCTACCATTTCGTGCCAATTTAATTGGACATCCGGGAGACATGTGTTAGTTGGGTGCGGCTCATAGGAGGCTCAGCGAGGTGGCCCCCAATGCAGGTCAACCGAAGCGGCTGAATAAAATGTTTCAGGGAATCCGAAGCAAGGTTCTTCCATGCCGCTCCCGACGACAGAGGGCGTACAAGGGAAGCCACAGGTATAGTGGTATAGTGGTATAGTGGTATAATGGTATAGTGGTATAGTGAAAGGAGAAGATGAATTGCCTACCTGTAGTGATGCGATGTGACGATGGCGGTTTGTCTTTAAAAGACATGATCCGAAGGGACCAATCGCGACAGCTAAGTGTCAACAAGGCGTCATCGTGTGCGCTGAGCCGCCAGCCTAATCGGACACCGCCTCACTAGTTGCGCGTACGACTCTACATACATGCGTTATACGTATTATACATGCATATACAGTACGTAGTTTATAGGCCAAACATCACTGGTGTTGGTCTTGGAGTAAGTCGTGATGGAAGATCTTTTTAAATGGAGCAGTTGATGCAAACTGCCAAGAGGCATGTAGAAAGGGTGGTTTTGGGGTCCGCAGACTCTGCACCGGCAACGTTACCTATTGACGGCAATAGATCACCACATGAACCAGCCAGCCGCGGACGGCGTGGGGAAAATAACTCTTTCTACCTCTCTCTGGGTCTTGCAGGTCATAGGCTTGATAGGCTTGATAGGCAACCAGTCATGACCGTTGTGAGGTCCAATTGCATACATACATACATAGTACGTTAGAAGTCGAGCATGAGCATGAGCATGAGCATGAGCATGAGCATGGTCGATCTTCATTCTGCCTCCCGGCCTTAGGCCGAACTATTTGCGATGGCATTGGAGAAAAGGCTAGTCCGCGAGGACCTATGAGAGAGACGAGACGCATGAATATACATCCTAGCCCAGAGCTGCGGGGGGGGGGGGGGGGGGGGATGATGGGATGGGAAGGGATGGGATGATGAAAGGCTAATGCTATAGATAGATATATATAAGGTATGTAGGTTGGCATATTCTTGGATAATGTAGAAGAGGAGTAGAAGCTGCAATCTTGTATGTGATAGATAAATAGCCAAGATGAAACGAGAGAAGAGGAGTCTCATGAAGCCTTAATAATAGTCATACCAAGGCCTTCCTACGCGTGTACGGGACTTGGTCAGGGTCTAGGTCAGACACATTGCGACCTCTTATTAATATTATGACTAGGTAGGTTATACCTACGACTACATATACATACCTTATACATGCCTTAGGTATATGCGGCGGAGTACATGGATGAGGGCATTTATCATGCAGGTGAGTCTACGGTCTGAGGCATCTAATTTGTCGGCGACGACATGGAATAGTAGGGTATTGTATGTGCTATGTATGCTATGTATGTGGTACGGGACCCTCCATCTTCCCTCCTTCAAGTATGTTTCCCCCCACAACATTATCTCTATCTCTCACTCTTACGGGCGATCCTCTCGGAGCGGATTACCTACCTACCTACCTACCTAACCTACCCTCCCACAACCAATCCCTCGGCATCAAATCGAATATGTAGGCGGCGGACTATTTTCGTCGTCGTATGTAGTTATGTTATCCCTTTATTCCTTTTTTTTCTTGGAGCTATTGGACAGTTTCAAGCTTAGTATTCATCTACTAATGTAGGTATGTAGGTATGTATGTATGTATGTATGTATGTGTGCCCGGAATTGCGGCCCACTCGTCACCTTGGAGCTGAAGTGAAGCGAGCCTCGGGCTAACGAGAAAGAGAGTCTTTTTTTTTTCCCTTCTTTCTTTCTTCCTGCTCTTCTTCTCTCGTGCGCGCGGACACACCTTTTTTGGGCAAGTAGTTTAAGATGGATTTTTCTAAGAGGCCTCCCATGCTGTCCACGTTCCCCACAGAGCGAGCGACTTTGGACCCTGCACAACTCCTCTTTCTGTTACCGGGATCGTGACCCAAGATTTAATAAGTGACGCATTGCGGTCTACCGACAACTCAACGTCTAACCTAGGTGCTAATCGTGTGTCTCGGTGATAGTTTTCTGCTAGAGTAGGGCCTTTTTCAAACAGAAAAGGTGCAGCGAGATGTTGCAAGCGTGCCTGATCCTAACCCTTCTGGCGAAAGATATGTGCTAATAAGAACTAATAAGATACATCAATAATGCCCTTTCCCGCAGGCATCCATGCATCGTTAGAGCGCAGCCGGGTCTTGCGGTCAGCGGCTTGCAGATGCGGCTGTATCATGGTGCGATATGTATTGTACTCTATCAAGGTCCACGTCACATATGTACACTGGGCTAGACCCTTTTACTCCATGCTGCTTCCATGCTGCCTCCATGCTGCCCATGGCGTCCTTTCTGGGTGGCTTTGGTATAGTGCTACCGAATCGTGCAATCCTACCCTTTCTTGCGTGGGCGGCACGTTGTTAGAGACAAATAGATGCCTTCTTTTACCTCTTACATACACATTGACCCCATTAATCGTCATATCCAGACTCGGAAGCTGAGAGCACTTCCTACATACTATGTAATATGTAAGGTATGTCCGTCCTAGCGTTTCCAGCTCCCGTGGGACTTCGTCCTTCTCATTCCCCTTCCCCTTCCCATTCTCTTAGAACCCATTCCCCCCTCCTTATGTATTTCTACTAGTTATGTGATATGATAACTACCATATTATATACCTGATCTTGAGTGATTATCTTTAGTAGCTAGTTATGTTGAATTTGAAACTTATTCGTTTCTCATAGATCCGGTCGTGCCGCATTCTTGCACATAATATGCATAATATCTATGTAGAGTATGCGAAGCGACCCCGCCTCATCCTAGATCGAGTTGCCCTGTATCCGTAGGAAGATACTATGTACTAGATACTGCCGCTCACCTTCGCGCGTATTGGGTGGATAGCCAAGAGGCACAGACCGCATGTAGTCCCCAGATTCGCAAAACCCACCCCGTCTGCCCGTATATACCTGATAGTGTGTAATGAATTCTCGCCGCAGTTACTTGCACTGACCTCAAAGTGGCTGAGCCAACGAGAGATTGCGGCAGCCGAGCAGATTCACGCTTGTGAATACCTATGTAGATAGTAGAATGCAGTACACTTTTCTCTTCTCCTTCTTACAATCCTTTCTTTCTCCTTCTCTATGATCCTCTCGACTCGCTACCATTACCCCGTTCTACTCTGCTCAGCCCTCTTCCTTGGACCAATACTATCCTATGGAAGTTGTGATGATATATGACGTTTGAGTACGTCTGAACGAAAGGTATTGGTAGTTCCACTGGTATACGCCCATACGACCATACGCACATACGCACATACGCCCCTCCCAGTAATCAATATTGGATCGCTATCTGGATCGCCGCATCTTTCCAATACTACCTGCTACATAGCAACATAGCGAGCGCTGCATTTGTCTGATCGGTGCCTTTATCCCCGCAAAAAGCCAGCCTAGATATTCTAGTCCCCCATCTAACACACCCGACTCGACATCAAATTCCCACTCTATTCGTACCCTCACCCAGTTGGGCGCACCTCTTGCCCATCAAACCCGTCGCGCTATTACCCGTTTGTCGATTTTCCTGTCGTCTGACTGATACGTATAGATATTCACACATACAAACATACAAACATTGCCTACCTGCATATAACACGAGTAGCGTAGGACTTGACTCTTGAACGAATTTGCAGAGTGTCTGAATTTCGTATAGGAGAGACAC